GGGGACCTGCACACACGGGGGACCTGCACACGGGGACCTGCACACACGGGGGACCTGCACACGGGGACCTGCACATATGGGGACCTGCACTCGCAGCTCCCATGCCCGTGGGAGCCCCTTGCTCTGGGTGGCCCAGTGGATGCCTGGTGCGGCTTCGCCCTTCCCCCTGCCCTCTCGTGGCTGGACCTCTGCACCCTGACCTGACACTGCCTGAGGCACTCAGGAGGACCGTCCTGCCCAAGGTGGCCACACTGTGGCTCAGCACTATGCCTAGGCACACCCTCAGCAAGTCACACTGAGACCCAGGGACCTGCAGCCACGCACGCTCACTGGGGGTCCTGCGATCCCGGGACTGGGACCTGCCAGGCTGGCGCCCCTTCCACAGGGTGGCAGGGCCAGGTGCCGCAGGAGTGTCTCCCTGAGTGACAGCGGAGCAGGAGCCCTGGGTCACCTGGTCCCCTGGAGGCGGGTCGCAGGGGCTCAGCCCGGGAAGCTGAGGGTCAGGCGTTGGGACTCCCACTTTCAGAATGGGACAGAGCTATTTCAGGGCACGTGGACAGATGCCCCTCGGGTCCCGCCGTGTGGACTGTGCTGGGTCCTGGGGTCTCTCAACTCAAGCTGCCCAGAGGGGGGGCGTCAAAGATGGCTTAGTCCCCGCCGTCTGGGAGCAGGACGTGGGCCCAGGTGTGGGCAGGGCTGGCTCCTGATGCTGCGGGGAGCGTGGGGAGCCCCCAGGTGGTGGATGGCCACGTACATCTCCGTTGTCACCAGCGTCCTCCCCCGAGCACCGGTGACATGGGATCAGGACCCCCCATGACCTCATCTACAGGAATTCCCTGTAATGGCCCTATGAGGTGGACACAGGCGCTGGGAGGACACTGCTCGGCCTGGCACAGCCCCGCCAGGCCTCCCCGCCCCCGGCCCCCTCCCCGGGCCAGGGTCCGAGGCCACCAGCTGCCTTCGCCCCTGCAGAACCGCATGAAGGAGAGCCTGGCGCTGTTCGGCACCATCCTGGAGCTGCCCTGGTTCCGGAGCACCTCGGTCATCCTCTTCCTCAACAAGACGGACATCCTGGAGGAGAAGATCCCCTCCTCCCACCTGGCCACCTACTTCCCCAGCTTCCAGGGTGAGTGACTCCACAGCCCCCGGGGCCGCAGCAGGACCCGACCGAGTCCTGACCGGAGCCGCCCGCTGCCCGACCTCTGAGCCTGAGTCGCCCCCTCGGCGGGGGCTCCAGAGGACAGGCCCACGCCAGAGGCAGCTGGCAGAAAGGAGTTCTAGTGACGTCACCTACTTGTTATTTCTGTGGTGTGGGGTGGACCCAGGGCCTCTGCATGCCAGGCCCAGGCGACGCCCCCCGGCCCGGGCGCCTCAGCTCTCGTGGGCGCTTTCCACGGCCTGCCCGGACGTGCACGGCTGGCTACGCGGGTGGAGGGTCAGAGGTCAGGCCTGGCAGGAGCAGGGCACCCGCCGGCTCCTTCCCCGAGCACCACACCAGGTCGGGGGCGAGGGCGGGTCACCTGTTTAGTGACGAGGGCCCAACCGTCCACAGGCCGCCCTCTCCATCGGCCATTTCACTTGGCTCCTGGGTTCGTGGGTCAAGCTCTGGGGAGAGCTGAGCTGGGCTGTTTGTCCCGACCCACAAGGCACCGCCGAGGAACAGCTCCAGGAAGGCCTCCCGGCGGGCGCTGGGCCTGTCCTCGCGGCCTCCCCTGGCGGCCCCTGCCTGCCTGCTCCCCTGTCCCCACCATGCTGCACCCGGATCCAGCTCGTGGCCGCCTGTGGCCGGGGCTCCCCCGCAGGATGGCTGAGGCAGGTTCGCAGACGGCGCCCAGGCGTGGGCTGCCCAAGGAGACCGGGCTCAGACGGCCGGGATGGCCCTCGTCCCACGCTGTCACCCAGCATGTCACGCCAGTGAGCCCCGGCTCAAAAGGAGGGGCCCGGCGTACCCAGAGATGCAGGACGAATGGGTGGCCCTCTTGGAGACGAGCCGTCTTCATGTCCTCGGCCCACTGTGACCGAGGACAGCAAAGGCTGCGTGCGGTCACCCTGTCTGTCTGCCCAGCAGTTTCGGGAGCTGAGGCAGGGGGATGGCCAGCCTGGGCCACTTGGCGAGACCCTCTGGGTATAAACAGGGATACGTGCGGGCTGCAGCTCCGTCCCCACCAACAGCCTCAGGCCACAAAACGGGGGGTTCCAGAGCTCAGTGGACCCTGCCCACGAGGCCTGGGGCGGAGTCAGGGTGTGGCCCGCTGCCCCGCGGCCTCCCGGGGGCGCCCCCTCGCTGTTCCTCGTCCACAGACGCAGGCTCCATGGCTGTGCCCCCGTGGCACGGCCACCTCCTCACCACCTGCGTCTCCACTTGCCACAGGGCCACCAACCACTGGCCTTAGGGTCACCCTCGTCAGTCTGACCCCATTTCGTTTAAATAATTGCATCTGATGATACTCCGCTCCCCAGAGTCCACTCTCTCAGGTCCAGGAGGACACAGAGTTTGAGGGACACTATCTCACCCCAAGTCACAGTGAGCCCCAGTAGAAGAGGCTCGCAGGGCCTGCCTGGCAGCAGGTCAGAGGTCCACGAACATGACCTCTGAGGGGTTGCCGGGGTTGCCCCCGGCCCTGCTGCCACGGAGCCCCGCGGCCAGTCTCTGCCGGTCACACCCACAAGGTCGAGGGTCTGGGAGGCTGAGGCCAGGTGGGGGACAGTGGCCTGGACGCCCTCCGCTCTTCCCAGCTGAGCCCGAGGGTCTGTTTGGCCTCGGGAGGGTGGGAGCAGGGGAGGGGATGGTTTCAGGGACTTCTTCGGTGGCCAGAGCACGTCACCAGCTGCTGGCCCCTCACCATGGAGGGCCGCCTGAGGGGAGTTCTCGGCCGGGCGCCCTTTGTCCTCATCTGGAAGCCCAGTGTAGGGGACCAGACACGGGAGGCCGAGGCTCAGGACAGCGGCCACCTGCTGACAGGCAGCGTGGGTCAGCGGGAGGCGGGACTTGAACCCAGGACGGACGTGAGGACCTGGAGCTGGAGCCCCAGCCACTCTGGCACCCGGGGAGGCGCGTCTGGAGTGCGGGGCCCTCCGTGACGGCCTCCTTGTCTCTGCCCCGCGAGGCCCTGACCGCCCCAGCTGGCGGAGATCGGGGACTGACCCATTGGCAGCTGGGTAGCCACCGCAGCACAGGGGGCCCTGGGGCAGCCCGCGTCACGCTGTGCTTTCCACCCTGCGTCCCCAGCCCCGAGGTGCCCGTCCAGGGGTGGCCCCGGCTGACGGAGGTCCCTCCGTCCCTTGGCCTCGGCAGCTCCGGGATCCCGAACCCCCACCCCCGGTGCAGCCCAGAGTCCCAGGACCGAGTCCCACTGCCCCCTCCCATCACGGGTCCTGGTGAGCCTTCCCGCGGGGCTCTGGGCTGGGCCGGGTCACCTGGCCAGCGATGCCCACAGAGGGGGCCCTGCCTGATGCCCCCGCCTCCCTCCCAGGCCCCCGGCAGGACGCGGAGGCGGCCAAGAGGTTCATCCTGGACATGTACACGGGCATGTACGCCAGCTGTGTGGACGGCCCCGAGGGCAGCAAGCGAGGCCCGCGCTCCCGCCGCCTCTTCAGCCACTACACGTGCGCCACGGACACGCAGAACATCCGCAAGGTCTTCAAGGACGTGCGGGACTCGGTGCTGGCCCGCTACCTGGACGAGATCAACCTGCTGTGACCACCCCTGGCAGGCGGTGGGCAGTGGAGATGGACCCCAGATGCCCGTCGCTCCGGCCCAGAGCCAGGAGGCAGAAGGCCCTCATGCGAGGGACTGGAGGGACGGACGGCCCACCACTGCCCTCTCTCCTCTGCCCCTCGCCTGGTCAGCCGTCCCCGCCGACCTCCTGGACTCCAGCTACGTCCTTGGAAAGGGAGGAACAACATGGCCTCGGGGGTGGGGGTGCCAGGGGGGGGAAGGTGAGGCCCTGGTGGGAGGCTGCGTGGGAGGCCTCTGGCCCCGTCACTGGGTGACTCTGTGAGGGAAAGGAGCCGTCCTTCGGGGTGGGCTCTGGCGCCCTCTGGTGGAAGCAGGAGGAATCCCCGCAGATGGCGCTCACCCAGGACAGGTGGCCGGTCAGGGGCCTCCCGGCGGCCACCACAGAGCCCCCTTCCAGAGCCCCAGGCCCACGGCGTCCTGCCCCGGTGTGCAGAGGAGGAACCCGAGGCCCCAGGTCCCTCTCCTGCTCCAAACAGCCTCTGTATTTATTCCCCGCGTCCACCGGCCCCCCACGGGGTAGACATTAAAGAAAGCACCTGAGGTCGGGGCTTCCTGGGGTGTGTCCACAGCCTCCTGCCCTCCCCATCCCCCTTCAGCGACCCGCCCAGGTGCCATGGCGGCAAGGGCCTGGGAAGCAGCCCGGGAAGCCAGGGAGGGAAGTGTCCCTTGTCCCCCCCCCACCCCGTCACTGGTCACCCTGGGCCAGGAGGTGCAGTCCCGCCCCACCATCGCCCATCACCCGCATCCCAGCCACGGGCCACCCAGCCAGCCCCGCACGGCCCCCAGGAGCCCTGGAGGGTGGCTGAGCTGGCCCACCCGGAGGCCCTGGCCTGCTGGCACCGGCCGCACGTTTGACCACTTTGGTGGGATTCACAGAGACGTCTGTGATGTGGCCTGCGGGGACGCGGCCCTCACAGCGCCCAGGCCCACGCGGCTTCCCCAGGACGGCCTCACCCGGGGCGGTGGCTTGGCCACCCTGGTGGGCCAGCCTCCACGTCCACAGAGGCCGGATTCCTTCAGGACCCCGGCTGGTCCCAGACCCAGGACCCGGTCCACCCCACGTGGCCTCAGGTCTCTGGCTTCTCTGGCTGGTGCCAGACGCCCCTCGATTTGGGGGTGACTGGTCTGAGGGGCGCTGGCGGGTGCTGGGGGCTCAGAACACACATGGCTCTCGGTCTGGAGGCCAGAGCATGGACTCAGGGGCCAAGGCGCCACAGAGACAGAGGGAGGCCCTCCCTGCCCGTCCAGCCCCGGGATGCGTGGCTCGGGTCTGCAGTGCCCGGCCGCCGCCTCCTCGGTGGCTTCTCCTCCTGCAGGTGTCTGTTCTCCATCTGGTCTCAGGGCCTCGACCTCCTGGCGGGGTTCTGTCACTGAGCCACCACTGCCCCTGCTCCCTGCCCCAGCACTGACCCAGGGCCCCCCACGAGCCCTCCCCAGCCCTTCTTATGCTGATTTTGAGACCGGGCCTCACTTAGTTGCCCAGACTGGTCAGGAGCTTGTGATCCTCCTGCCTCCGCCTCCCTCGTGGCTGGGATCCGAGCTGTAAGCCTCCAGGCCCGGCCTCTTCCTCCTCACTGGGCTCGGGGTCCACCCAAATGGCCTCGTCCTCGTTTGATTCCATCTGCAAAGACCCTATTCAGCTGGGCACAGTGGCCACACCTGTCCTCCCAGCAACCTGGGAGGCGGAGGCAGGGGGATCGCAAGTTCAAGACCAGCCTGGGCACCGTGGCCAGGCCCCATCTCAAAATATGAAAATAAGCAGGACTGGGGCGGCCCCCGGGTCAGCCCTCGGCACCCCACCGAAGGCACCAGACGGAGGTCAGTCTCAGGTGCCGCCAGGTATTTTGTGGGAAGCCCTTTGCTGGTCAGTGCCAGGGTCCGTTGGGGCTCGGGGACTTGGTGGAGGAGCTGAGAGGTCATCAAGGTCCATGGAGGCACAAGCCGCCAAGTGACTGCAGAGCGCGTTCCCTCCGCTCCTCGGCACCCTCCCCAGGTCAGAGCCAAACCCAGCCCTGCTCTGGGCACCCGGCCACGCCTGCCCGGACTCCACCGGGCCTTACCCGCAGCCCCTGGGTCCCGGGAGCCACCACCGAGGGTAGACAGCTTTGGGGGCAAAAATTCCAGAAAGCGCTGTGTCTGGGGCTCAGGGTGGAGACTCACCTGGCACCCGTGAGCCGGGTTCAAGTCTCAGCACCACATGACACTAAAGCAGAGGTATCGGCTCCTCCTACCGCTCAACACGGATTTTTAAAACATTCCAGAAAGTTCCAAAACCACACGGGTTTGCCGTGTGCCCAGCTGGTGGCCCGAGTGGGCAGCCCAGCTGCGGGCACCTCTGCCATCCAGACCCTCTCCAGCGCCCTCTCCTGCGTGGCCAGGGCTGAGGTGTGCAGGGGCTTTCCCAGTCACGGTCCCCCGACAACACGACGCTCCGTGCCAGTCCCGAGCCGGGCACCGCCAGTCGCCAGGCATCCGGAGTCCACAGAGGCAAATGCTGTTCCAGAGAGCATCCCTGCCGTGGACCCTGAGGGCCTCCAAGGACGCTCTGTGGTGTCCACTGCACCAGCAGACTGAGTCGGGGCTGGACATGGTCCAGCTGGACGGCCGTGGCCTTCACAGGCGCTGACCTGGGCGCGGTGACCGCGGGCCGTCTCCCTCTCCCCCGCTCAGAGCAGGTGCGCTGTGTGCCGACGTTTTTACAAATAGGTTGCGAGTGGGTCGGAGCCACCGTGGGCTTTTGTCCCAACACCCCACGTCTCCCGAGAGCAGAGGCGTCCCCTACCCAGCACCACGCCTGGCGGGTCACCAGGAATGCCCTGTGACACGGACACACCCACGCACCGCCGCGCCCACGGCGGGCTCTTCTGACTCCGAGACGCCTCTGATTTCTATCCTGGGGAAGCTCGGCGTGGAATTACCTCTTACCACCTCCCAGTGGGCAGCTCGGCGGCCCGGGGCAGTCGGGCTGAGCCGCGACCCCATCTCCCTCTCCAGAACTTTCCATCTCTCCAAACTGAAGCTCTGCCCATTGGCACTGACCCGGGGCTCCAGCCCTGGCTCCATGGTGCTGTTTCCCGCCTCCGCGGCTCTGAGCCTCTGGGGCCCCCAGGTGACCCCCCAAGAGACCCCCCAGGATGTCCTCTGTGTCCAGTTCTCACTGTCCGAGGTCCCACCTGCCGCAGGTGCTGGGAGCCCCTCTCCCTGGCTCTTGTCCCGCTCCCTCCCCAGCCTCAGGTCAGGGGTCCTGCCCACTGGGCAGCCCTGCTGCCTGCTGCCAGGCCAGCCCCACAGGTGCCCGTGTCTCTGCCAAGGAACGCTCTCACCCTCTGGGGCTGTCCCTGGTGGAGATGTGGGGGCCAGGGGACCATCATCCACCTGTGAGGCTTGAACTGTCCCAGGCCGGGCACTGCCGCCCCTTCTGGCCGCCCAGGGTCCCCAGGCTCCCGACCCTGTGGCCCCCAGAGGTCCCACTCGCCATCTGGCTGCTGCATGAGCAGGTCCCGGAGCCCTGCGCCCCACTTAGGGTCAGGGCAGGTGGCCCTTAGAGCCAGAGCTGGTGCCCGGGGCTCTGGGTGCCCTCAGTGAGGGAGTGGACTCGGGGTCTGTGTTGGCCTCCTGTGGTGCTGGGGGTGGAACCCGAGGTCAGTACCAGCTGGGCCAGTGCTGACCACTGAGCTACCACCCCAGCCTGGACCCCGAGTCCCATGGCCCTCAGGATCGGTCACCTGCCTCAGGGTCCTTCCTGGTCCACCGGTGCCCCATCCCCCTGCTCTCCCTTGGGAGACGCTGGTCCCGGGCGAGGTCAGTGCACTAGGTCCTCCCTCCACCCCGAGCACAGTGCCCCTGCCCTGGCTGGCTCCGTCCTCCCGACAGTGCGTCCTGTCCTGGGAGTGACCGGGGACGCGGCTCTGCGCCTGGAGACCCTCCCGCTTCTTCTGGTGACCCACTGGGCCAGCGGCCGAGCTCCGGCCTCTCGCGGGAGGTGGTGGGGGAGGGGAGCCAGGCGCGTGCCACCCGCTGCACCCGGTGGGCAGCCTGAGGTCTGAGGGCCCCTGAGGGGGCTGGGTGTCGTCCATCCTTGGGGCCCACCTGGAGGGGTCACCCCCAATCCCACAGGCCCAGCACGGGGAAGCCCTTTCCCTGGGGGCAGGGGCTCTGCAGCTGAAGGTCCTGCCTAGGGACCGCCACACCCTGGGGACCGTGCCTGGCTTGGGGTCAGGGGTCAGCCCAGGGTCAGGCCTCGACAGGATCGGGGCAGGGTTGGGGTACGCTTGAGGTCATGGGCCCCGCCTGGCTACCCTGGGATCGGGGCTCAGTACAGAATCAGGGAACCCGGCTGGGAGGGGGCTGGCGGGTGGCTCAGGGATTGGGGGAGGGGTGTGCTGGGGGTGGGGGAGGCCGGGCTCGGCTGGCACCAGGATCAGAACCGGGCCTGCACTCAGCTGCCTGGGCTCAGCCTGGGCCAGGCTCTGGACGGGAGCGGGGCTCAGGGCTCAGCTGGGGTTCAGGGGCAGCCTGGGACGGGCTCTGTCCAGGGCGGGGCGGGGCAGTCAGAGCTGGCCCCAGGACTCGGGTGACTGTCCTGCGCCTGGGCCTCTGCTGTCTCCTCCGACCTCCCCCCTCCCCTCCTGCTACCTCTGCTTGGTCACCTCAGGGACAAGAGCTGGCCCCTCCCAGGCCAGCGCAGCTTCCCGCAGCCACCCGCCCCGCGCTGGCGGTAAGTGGGGGCTGGGTGCCAGGCAGCTCCCTGCTCCTCTCTGCCTTCCCGGGCACTGGGCTTCTTGGGTGGGCACCTGGCCCCCAAGGTCACCTGGGCCTCCTCATGAACTACCTGTCCCCTCGTGCGGCCCCCGGCTGGCAGAGCTGGTGTGGCCACCCCTGCCTGGGGCCAAGGCCCCTCTCAGGAAGGCTGATGACCACATGGGCCCAGGGTGGGAGGGACAGCGGGTCCTCCGTGGCCCTCCTCCGTGGCCCTCCTCCGTGGCTGGTGAGGGGCCTGGTGAGCTGTCCCTGGCGTCCCTCCCCTGAGCCAGGCTCCCGGTGCGAGGCTGCCTTGGGGAGCCCCAGCCTGGCCCAGCCCCCTCAGGGGACACAGCAGGTGACCCAGGTGAGCCCTGAGGAGAGGGGCTTCGTGGGCAGCCGGTGACAAGCACTTATTAAGCCCCTGCTGGGTGCAGGCCTGGCTGCGGTAGCTGGGGAGCCGGTGGGTGCTCCTGGGGACAGGCAGGGAGGGGTGGCGAGTGCCAGGTGGCCCCCTCCCCTTCTGCTTTCGAGGACCCGCGGGGGCAGGCGGGGCCGTGGGGTGTCGCTGCCGAGGGCCTCCCCGGAGTCCGGGCAGAGCCCGCCAGCCGTTGGGATGCCCCTCCCCGCCCTGGGCTGGCCCCCACCCTGGGGGTACCTTGAACAAAACAGGAAATTTCAAACAACAGGAAACCGAGGCCAGGCAGCCAGCTCCACCCTGCCCGGGCCTCAGTCTGCCCAGGAGGCCATGAACGCTACGGGGGCCCCGCTGCCCCGGGACGCCTGCCACCAACTGGCGGCCGGTGGGCACAGCCGGCTCATCGTCCTGCATTACAACCACTCGGGCCGGCTGGCAGGGCGCGGGGGGCCGGAGGACGGCCTGGGGGCCCTGCGCGGGCTCTCGGCGGCGGCCGGGGGCCTGGTGGTGCTGGAGAACCTGCTGGTGCTGGCGGCCATCACCACCCGCATGCGCTCGCGGCGCTGGGTCTACTACTGCCTGGTCAACATCACGCTGAGCGACCTGCTCACCGGCCTGGCCTACCTGGCCAACGTGCTGCTGTCCGGGGCCCGCACCTTCCGCCTGGCGCCCGCGCACTGGTTCCTGCGGGAGGGCCTGCTCTTCGCGGCCCTGGCGGCCTCCACCTTCAGCCTGCTCTTCACCGCGGGCGAGCGCTTCGCCACCATGGTGCGGCCGGTGGCCGAGAGCGGGGCCACCAAGACGGGCCGCGTCTACGGCTTCATCGGCCTCTGCTGGCTGCTGGCCGGGCTGCTGGGGCTGCTGCCCCTGCTGGGCTGGAACTGCGTGTGTGCCTTCGAGCGCTGCTCCAGCCTGCTGCCCCTCTACGCCAAGGACTACGTCCTCTTCTGCGTGGTGGTCTTCGCCTGCATCCTGGCCGCCATCCTGGCCCTCTACGGGGCCATCTTCCGGGTGGTGCAGGCCAACGGGCAGAAGGCCCTGCGCGCCCCGGCCCGACGCAAGTCCCGCCGGCTGCTCAAGACGGTCCTCATGATCCTGGTGGCCTTCGTGGTGTGCTGGGGCCCGCTCTTCTGCCTGCTGCTGGCCGACACCTTCGGCTCCACCGTCTGGGCCCAGGAGTACCTGCGGGGCATGGACTGGATCCTGGCGCTGGCCGTGCTCAACTCGGCCATCAACCCCCTGATCTACTCCTTCCGCAGCCGGGAGGTGTGCCGGGCCGTGCTGGCCTTCCTCTGCTGCGGGTGCCTCCGGCTCGGCCTGCGCGGCCCCGGGGACTGCCTGACCCGGGCCACCGAGGCCCACTCTGGAGCGTCCACCACGGACAGCTCACTGAGACCCAGGGACAGCTTCCGGGGCTCCCGGTCGCTCAGCTTCAGGATGCGGGAGCCCCTGTCCAGCATCTCCAGCGTGCGCAGCGTCTGAGGCAGCGCTGGGCACAGGCACCCGCGAGGCCCGCGGGAGGGGGCACCCGGCCCTGTGGTCTTCCTGCCGATGCCGAGCGGCTTTCCCTGGGGCCCTGGACAGGGCGGCCACTGTCCACCACGGCAGAGAGCACCTGCAGCAGGTGGCAGGTTGGCCAGGCCCCGGCTCCAGGGGGCCCTGGGCCACAGAGCTGCGGCTGTGAGGGGCGGGCTGGGGGGCTGAGGCCTGGACTGCAGGGAGGGTACCCAGGTCGCCAAGGAGCCTGTGTGCACGGGGTGACGACGCGGGGGCCCGGGCTGCTGGCGGTGTGCAGGGGCAGGTGTGTCCTTGCCGCAGGGTCACGCACGTGTGCTTGGGAGTGTGGTCCTGAGTGGGGTGTGTCTGCCGGGGTAGACTCTGTGTGTGTGTGTGTGTGTGTGTGTGAGTGTGTGTGTGTGAGTGTGTGTGGCAGCCGCTCCCTGTGCTGCAGGACACCGGGCAGGCCGGTGACGAGTGCCCTCTCTCTTCTCGGTCACTGTCCTTGGGGGATGGACTTCTTCCCCAGCTCTACCTCCGCATCTTCTGGGGACCCCAGATGGGGGCCAGCGGGGAGGACGAGGCCCTGCCCCCCGCCTGTGTTTCCCCCCCACTGTGAACCCAGCTCATCACGGAACCCAGGGTGACAGGCAGGTGCTGCCAGGGCACCTGCACCCAGGGGGACCGTCCAGTGACGGCGGACGCGTTCTCGAGAGTGGAGAACAGAGCCGCCCGTGGCAGGACACTCCGTTGACCTAGTTTATATTCAATGGCAGCCGTGAGGCCCGGGTTTCCTCGCACCTGGGCCTGGCCCAGGGGGCTTCCTTGCCCGGCCAGCCCAGGGCTCAGGAGAGGGCTTTGGGATGCCCCCGTGGGTGCTGGGCACTGGCAGCCCACCAGGTGGCCGTTTCTCTGCCGCAGCAGCGGAGGTGGCGACTGGATCCCCCGCTGCCCGGTGCTGTGCCCACCGGCCACGCCTGGCTACACAGAACTCATTAAAACCCCCAAACCTGAAGGTCGAGGTGCCACGTGTCGGTTCCCTGGGGCCACAGACGGCCTCCGACGGCAGGGCCACTCCTCCGCTGGGTCTGGGGGCCGAAGTCAGGGTCCAGGTGTGGTCAGGGCTGGCTCCTGAGGCCCCTCCAGGGTCTGGTGGAGGCTGGCGGCCTCCGTGCCCTGGGCTCGGGAAGCTTCTCCTGAGCTCCCCTCCATCTCAGTCGCCCTGCACTGGACGGGCCACCCCCTGGGCCCCAGTCCTGCTGACTCCAGGGCAGGACCCTGCTTCCAGCAGCAGCCCTTGCTGGGGTCCCGGGGGTCAGGGCTCGACGGCTGGATCTGGGGCACAGAAGCCTGCGACAGGCACAGGACCACGTTTCCAGAGGACCCGCTGGGCGCGAGGCTGGCCGAGTGCCCGCACAGGGATGCTCGCTGGACGTGCGGGGCAAGCTCCCGGCGCCTGGCGAGGGGCCTGTTACCCCCGCTTCCTGCCTCTGCTCGGGGCCAGGGCAGGCAGGTGGGGTCCAGGCAGGAGGCAGGGCCTGGTCAGCCCAGCCTCGAGCCTGTCTCTGTGCCCTTGGGAGCTTGACCTTGAGCTGACCTTTGGCATCCCCTCACATGGCCTCCCTGGTCTGCCCCTAGGACTCCTTCGGGCTTCCCCAGCTGCCCAGGTGGCCTCCACCCTGGCTCCAGTCCCCAACTGCACATGCCCCTCCTCTGGCCCTCTCGCTGCCTGGCCGTCCCAGCACCCGGCCTGTGGCCATGCACACAGGCGTCTAGTGACCCAGAGCTCTGGGAGCCCCTGCTGGTCTCAGAACCCGCTTTCCCGCTTCGCCTCCACACAGCTGTCCCCAGGAGCTGCGCCTCGGGTGGCTCAGGGACCCCCTGCCCGGGTCTAGAGCTGAGTAGCCGCACCACCGGCCTGTCTCCTCACCTGTGGAGCGAGGCTGGACACGGCGGCCTCCTGGGACGCTGGGAAGGTTCCAGAGACAGCACGTCGCGTGCTTTTGTTTTGTTGGGGGGGGTGGGAGCCCAGGCCTCGTGCTGACCAGGCTGGCCTCCCCACTGAGTGCACCAGGCCCTGCGGGTCCAGCTGTCAGCCGTGCCTGGGGCAGGGGTGGCGGAGGGCAGAGGTGTAAGGGACGGGGCCAGTGAGAGCAGTGAGAGGCACGCACCCCAGGATCAGCTCTCCTGCTGCTCACCTCATGCACCCAGGGCCTCCCTGGAGAGGCCTGGGGCAGCCGGAGCAGGGTCTGCAGACGGGGTGCTCAGCAGGTCTGCTGGGGGCGTCACTACCCATCCACGTGACCACTGTGTGTCTGTATTCTGGGACCTGCTGGGCCTGGGAGGGGAGGGGAGCCTGCCGTGTAGACACCCCAGAGGCCACATCCAGGATCAGGCGCTGGACACGCATCCGCCCGAGGTCCACACCTTCCGCACCTTCTCAGAACACCAACACAGACTGAGCGCTTACAGCAGCGGCTCTTTCTCTAACCAGTTTGCACTGATGACCTCGAATCCTCACGTGCCTCTGGTGGTGGGTGAGGAACTGCAGCTACTGGTCATCATCTTTGACCGCTGAGGAAACTGAGGCTCAGAGAGGGCACAAAGCTGGGAAAGGAAGGAGCTGGGATTTGAACTTGTGCTTTTACTTAGTACAAATGCCACTTCTCAGAGGGTACAGAAGGGAGGCCTTGGGTGACCTCACTGGAGCTTGGGATGTCAACAAGAGGGCTGGGGCTCTGGCTGCACCCTTGGCCTCAGTCTTCCCACCTGTGCAAGGGGGTGTGGGTTACTGATGATCACGGTCCCCTGGCCTCCAGACACTAAGCTGTCAGGTTAGGGAAACATCAATAGGACACCCAGAGACTAAACTTTAATTTCTAATAAGTCACATTTTTTCCCTTTTCTTAGTCTAATTATGCCTCAAGTAGAAGTCAGGGTAAACGCAAGGACGCCGCAGCCCCCGCACGTGGCCCAGGCTCCAGACTACAAATCCCAGCGCCCCCTGCACCCGGTGGCCGCCGTCCCGCAAGGGTTTTACCCTTTTCTCATTCATTCACCCGAACATGGCGCTGCCGCCCGCCGGGGCCAGGCGCTGCGCTCAGGGCTCTGGGACGACACCGATGCTCGACTCATGCAAAGGTCTGAGCCGCCGTCAGCTTGACATTTAAATTTTGGGGGAATTTTAAATTTTATTCCCGCGCCCCAGAAACTACAGTTCCCATGACCCTTTGAGCTCGTGCGAAGGGACCACGACACCCAGGAGGACCAGCGCGCCAGAGAGGCACTTCCTCCTCCAGCTCTTCCCCCCGCATTTCCTTCCAGGTCGCAAGGTCACGCCCTGACCGCGTCTCTTATCTCCCCGCTCCGCGCCCCTACCCCAGCCAAGGCCAGGGTCTAAGCAAGTTCCACTGGAGAATGGCTGCCCAAAGCTAGGTCGTTCCCGACTTGGGATTCATGTGAAATTCCGGTAGCGTTAGCGAAACAACCCCTCAGGGCTTCCGTCGGGAGTCCGCGGTGGGCCTACAACTCCCAGGCGGCTCCGCGCGCCCTGGCGGACTACAGCTCCCGAGAGGCAGCGCGCGCAAGGCTGCCCGCGGCGATGCGTGCAGGACCCCGGTGCGGACGCGGGCTGCCCGACGCGTTGCCCGCAGGACCCCGGCGGCTGCCCATGCCGAGGTGAGTCCGCGGGAGCCGCGGCCGCCGTCCCGTCGTCTCGTCCCGTCCCGTCCCGTCCCCGCCGCCGCCCCGCGCGGACCCGCCGCTGGCCAGGATGCTGGAGGAAGCGGGCGAGGTGCTGGAGAACATGCTGAAGGCGTCGTGCCTGCCGCTCGGCTTCATCGTCTTCTTGCCCGCGGTGCTGCTGCTCGTGGCGCCGCCGCTGCCCGCCGCCGACGCCGCGCACGAGTTCACGGTGTACCGCATGCAGCAGTACGACCTGCAGGGCCAGCCCTACGGTGCGTGCGCGCCCCGCCCCGCCCCGCCGCGTGCGCCGCCGAGCCCGCCGCCGGCCCGGCCCGGGCGGCAGACCCTGGTCCAGGCCGCCGGCCACCAACCCCCGGCCCTGGCCAGGCCCAGGCCAGCACCTGCGCCGGCCCCTGCCGTCCACCAGGTCCACTGCAGCGCTCACCCTGGCCCCCTCCTGCGCTGGGCTGTGCGCCCGCGATGGGCTGCCTTGACCTGTCCGGTCCGTCCCAGTCCACCCAGCTCTCCGCACGGCCAGCCGCTGCACCCACCGCCCTGCCCTGTCCAGCCGACTCCGTCCCCATCCCTCGCCCAGGCCGGCCTCCTCCTGCTTCTGGCCTGCCCTTCGGTGTCCCCTGACCCCACTCTTGTTCCTTCTGTTGACACATGTCGCCCTCAGCCCAGCGTCCACCTCCTCCACCCCAGAGCCCACCTGCTCCCTCCTCCCAGGCCTCCTGGGGTCCCTAACCCTGGCTCAGGTCCCACCCACGACCCCTGACCTGGACCTGCTCAGCTGCCTGCTCAGCTCTTGCCCCCGCCCCACCTTCTGTCCCCTGCCCCACCGTCTGTCCCCCCCTCCCGTGCCCGCGGTCAGAGCGCCCTCTGTCGCCCCAGCCGTAGTGGGTTCCAGAATCTTCTGGTGTCTGGTTTGCCTTCCCTCCAGTCTGACCCCAGAGTCCAGTCTTGCCCTCCTGTCAGGGTCCCCTGTGCACATTCAGGGCCATGTGGGGGACTGCTGGAGGCTAGCCCCGGCCTGTGGACCGGCCTCTGCCAGGCCCCGGGAGCCAGATTCCCATGGCCTCTTGGATTCCCTCTGCCCAAAGTGACCTCGTTTCTTTCTAGAGTGATGGTTTGTCAGCCCGGGAGACCCTGGGCCATGTCTGGGGACATGTGGTTGTCATGCCTGGGGTGTCCTGCCCTGGAGTGGTGGAGGCCAGGGACACTGCTCAGAACCCCTCTTTCCCCAGGCAACTGTCCAGCCCAGTGTCCCCGGCGCCGAGGGGCTGTGGATTAGAATGAGCACTTCCCTCCAGCTGTCCGGCCTCTGCCCTGGGACAGGTCTTGAAGGGCGCTGTCCAGTGGAACTGCGTCTCTTGTCTGGTCTGGGAGCTGCCAGCCTCTGGTGGCCGAGGACGTGGTGTTTAGTGCTATTTAACTATAACAAATTCAAGCGGCCACACGTGGCCAGCAGCTACCTAGCCGGGCAGCACAGCCCTGGAGTGCAGGAGGTTTTTCTAGAAGAGTCCACAGTTCAGAATGCCAGCCCCAGACCTCGGGCACCCTGCTCCTCCATGTCCCGTGTCACCGCCCCTGCCCGGCTCATCTCCACCTGTCCTTCCTGTGCACCCCACTTGTTACCAGCCCCTCGGGGGCCTGCCCACCTGGGCCTAGTGCTGCCCCTGCAGGCAGCCGGAGTGACCACACCCTACAGCCTTGCCCCCAGAAGTTGGCCGAGTTTGTGGGGCCTTAGGTTCCTCTGTGCCTCCTGCGCCTCCGGGCCTTTGCCTCCTCCAACCCAGCCTCTGCCTGCTGCCCCCAGCCTCTGCCTGCTGCCTCCCTGCTGGCCCTTCTTCCAGACCTCCCTTCCCTGGCCTCTCCCCGGTCCTGGGTCCTGCCCATTCTTCTTTCTGACCCGAGGTCTTCTCCCATGTGTCCTCTCTGAACCCCACTTTTTCTTGCCCCTTGATGAGCCGCCCAGAAGCTGCTGGCCCCGCGTGGGTGTGGCCTTCCCCTGGATCTGGCCTCCCCTGGCCAGGCCAGGAAGACTGGGGGGTCGCAGGGCCTGTCAGGTGGCCCCTGGTCTGTGTGTCCGGGAGGCTGGTCTGGGAGCCTGTGCGGGCAGGCAGGACAGGCCAGGCCTGAGGACACTCAGCCGTGACCCCTCCCCTGGCCCCGGGCCTCAGCGCTGCCCCTGCCTGCTCCTTGCCCAACTTCCTGTGGCCCCTGTTGGGAAACGGGGCAGGTGTGGGGGCAGAGCAGGTGCCCAGCCAGTGGCCCAGCTAGCCCCTCCTACGGTGGCCCTTGTGAGTGCCCACGAGCCTGGCTCCGGGGCCTGTGCCAGGGAGGAGGAGGGGACGGTGGGCTGAGCTGGCCACACGTGTGGGTGAGGGTGGAAGGGTGGCCTTGGCCTGGGCGGCGAGCTGGCCCGTCCCTGGGCGGGGCTCGCGTGGCCAGGCGCCTGTGAGGTCTGCCGGGTGGGGCTGTGCCCTGAGCCCCGCCAGCTGTCAGTCGCCCGGCCGCCGTGGGACAGGGTCTTCTCCGCTTCCTGCCAGCGTCTCGAGCCGGAGGCCGGGCCACACCTGGCCCGGTCTGCGTCACCTGCTGGCTCCGCCTGGTGTCATTTGGGATGTCTGAGACCTTGGTCCCTTGCCTTTGGCCTTTGACCTTGGGGGCTGCCCATGGGGCTCGACCTGCCATCCCTTGTCCCTGGTGGGCTCACCTGTTCCTGCTGCGCTCGAGGACCAGGCCCCGCAGAGCTTGGCGGTCGGTGCCTCTCGGAGGACGCTGCCCTGGTGGGCGCCCAGGCGGGGCCGTCCCTTCACCGCTGTGGAGAGGCTGCTGCGGGTGGACCTTGGTGGCCCAGGGGCTCCTGCGACGCAGGAAGGGCAGCTCGGGGCCGGTGCCTCCAGGGCTGCCGGGTGGCCGTGTCTGTGGCCGTGCTGTCCACGTGGCTGGCCCAGGCTCTCAGGAGAGGGGACAGAGGCGGTTAGGGGCAGGGCAGGGGTCTCACCACAAGTGGTCCTGCGCCCAAGGGACACTGACGTCTGGGGACGTGTGGCTGTCATGCCTGTGGTGTCCTGACTTGTAGGGGCAGAGAGGGGGACGCTGCTCAGCACCTTGCCAGGCCCGGGACACCACCCAGAGTGACCAGCCGGTGTCCACAGTGCCGAGGAGCCCAGGGTGCCCGCGGCTTGTCTTGGGGCCCTGGAGGGACCTGGCTCTGCCCGTCCCCCGCTCCAGTGCCCGCTGAGGGAGTGGGTCGGCGCGGACACAGGCAGCTGCTGGGCGTCCCCTGCCCGAGCCCCAGAGTGGACGCGGACTGGTCCAGGGCTGGGATGAGGGTCTGCTCACCGCTCTGGGCCACCAGTCCCTGGCAGGAGGCCCGGGGCTGCAGTCCCCGCACTGCCCCAGCCGACACCCAGGAGTCCCGCGCGGCCTCATGGGCCCTGGGCCCCTATAGGGGCCAGACGACGGCACCGACCCCTTCAGGGCCCCCTGCCCCTCCCTGGTCGTGCTCAGCGTGGCCCGGAGCCCGTGCTGCCACAGCCCCTGGTTTTCTGGAAAGCTTGTGTCGAGGCCACCGGGGGGTCTGTCCTCTTGTGCCCATGCGGGGGTCAGCCTGGCCCTGCGAGAGCCCTCCGGAACCAGGGCCCGTCTGACACCGCTGCCCCATGCCCGGATCCCCCTGTGCCCAGCCACTCCCGGGTGACCCCTTCGTTTGCTGCCTTTGCATGCAGGACCGAGGCCATCTGGAGGCGCACTGGCCAGGGCTGCAAACGGGCGTGTCCTCCTGACCCTGGCCGAGCTGCAGGGCCTGGCCGGTCCGGCTGCGCTGGGGTTTCCCTGCGGGTTGGGGGCTGTGTCCCCGAGGGGAAGGGACTCTGCCTTTTTCTGGTGCTTGGCAACAGGCTGTGGCCAGCACCGCCCATGCCTGGGGCTGCCAGACTGAGGGTGGCCCGTCCCCGCAGGCACCCGGAACGCGGTGCTCAACACAGAGGCACGCACAATGGACGCGGACGTGCTGAGCCGGCGCTGCGTGCTCATGCGGCTGGCGGACTTCTCCTACGAGCAGTACCAGAAGGCCCTGCGGCAGTCGGCAGGGGCCGTGGTCATCATCCTGCCGCGGGCCATGGCCGCTGTTCCCCAGGACGTCGTGCGGGTGAGCCCTCCCTCTCCAGGACAGAGGCTGTGGTTCCGGGTTAGCTGTGTGACCTTAGGCAGGCTGCTGTGCCTCTCTGAGCACTGGTGCTCCCTGGGGGCAGTTTTGTCCCCAGGAGATACTGAGTGCTGTCAGGTGTCATTTGGGTCTGGAGTGTCCTGGCCTGGAGTGAGTGGAGGCCAGGGACACTGCCTGGCATCTTGCAGCACCCAGGACACCCACCCCGGAGAAAGACTCAGCCTCACACATTGTCAGTGGCCTGGGGAGGAGCCCTTGTCAACCAAGGGGACCTGGTGACACCCACCGGAGACCCAGGTGGAGCTGCTTTTTCAGACGGGGTGGGGGTGGGGTGGGGGGCTTAGTGCCAGGTGGCTGGTGCCCACCCGAGGGCCCGCTGCCCCAGGAGTGGCCACGCCAGGCCCCTAGTCAGCAGCCCGCCCACTCCCTCCCCACAGCAATTCATGGAGATCGAGCCTGAGATGCTGGCCATGGAGACCATCGTCCCCGTGTACTTTGCCGTGGAGGATGAGGCCCTGCTGTCCATCTACGAGCAGACCCAGGCCGCCTCCGCCTCCCAGGGCTCTGCCTCTGCCGCCGAAGGTAGGCTCCGGCCTGGGCAGGGCGGGAGGCGTCCCTGAGCAGAGGCCAGGGCGGGGGCCGCCCAGCCTGTGGCCAGGTGCTGCAGCGGGACACGGCCTGCTCGTCCCCTCTGGGCCAGCCTCTGCGAGGAGGCCGCTGCATCACCACCTGGGGGTCCCGTGGGTCGGCGCAGTCCTGGGGAAGGACGCGGCTGTGCTGTGCCCTGGGGAGGGAGGGGCGGTCAGCTGGAGGAGCTGCCTGGGCCTCCACCTGTGGACAGCAGGGGCTGGGGTGCAGCTGGCCTGGCGTCCCTGTGCCGCGGGGGAAAGACAAAGGGACCCGGATGGGGCGTAAGGAGCCGCAGGGCAGCAGCTGGTGGCCCCTCCTGTCATCCCACCACGCAGAGGCCGAGGCAGGTGGTCAGCAAGTCCAGGCCCGCCCGGGCCACCTAGCGAGCCCCTGTCCAGAATAAAAGGCAAAGGCCGGGGTGCGGCCGGCTGGGCATGCGGGGCCCTGGCTCCTCCCAGCCCCAGGGGCAGGTGGGGCCGTGGACACAGGTGGACCTGGCCTGGCTCCTGGGGAGCGCCGCGGTGGCCGTCTGTGGGTGAGACCTGGCTGGTGGGCAAGGTTCTTGAGTTCCCGGGGGCAGCCCGTCACTCAGCCGCGTGCCCGTAGAGCAGCTGCCCGAGGGACAGCAGTGTCACCTCGGGCCTGAGCAGGGTCCCAGCCTGGTGTCCGTGGATCCTCATAGGCGTCCTAGAGATTCCTGCGTGGCAGCCGCGGGGTGCTGGGTCAGGGCTTGGAGTGTGGGCGCGTCGGGGGAGGCCGCGGGCGGGGCACAGCTGGGCGGCCTGACCCGGATCACGGAGGCTCACGCAGTTGCTCCAGCCTCGTGGCCAGCTCCTGGGCCCCTGGCTGCCCCCCGGGCACGTCCTGCAGGCCCACGGTGTCGTGAGGGTGCCCGCTGGCCTCGAGACTCCAGGCGTGCAGCTGGCCTCAGCCGGGAGGCCGTTCCCTGTAGGCCGTGGAAGGCCAGGTTCCAGCAGAGCCTCAGGTGGCGGTCAGTGGCACGTGCCGTGTGCCCAGGAGCCGGTGGGGGGCACCGGGTTCCTGTGTGCAGGTCCCAGTCACCACGTCCTCAGTGCCCTGTGCGGCTGGAGGAAGCCAGCTCTGGGCAGCTGGAGGACGGCCCCCAGCCCAGGTGACCCGTCCCTCTCCTGTTCCCAGTGCTGCTCCACACGGCCACTGCCAATGGCTTCCAGATGGTCACCAGTGGGGTCCAGAGCAAGGCCGTGAGCGACTGGCTCATCACTAGCGTGGAGGTGAGTGCCGGCCCTCCAGGCTCCTGACCCCCAGGCGGAGGCCCCCCGTGGCCCCAGAGCCCCGCGGGCAGTGGCCGGGAGGGGCCTCTAGATGCGTCCGCCACGTCCCTGCTGCGTGCAGGAGGGTGGCCAACGAGGGTGGCCTTGCCATGCTCCCTTTCTGAGCGGCTTAGCTGACCCAGGGGCTCTGCCGGGGGCTCATCCCCAGTGGCAGGGCCTGGGTGCTCTGCTGTCCGGGGTCAGCCAGGCCGAGGGGCTGGTGGGGCGCCGTGGGGTGGGGCAGCCAGGCCGGGGCGGGCAGGAGCCCCGGGCAGGGTGTGGCCGTGCGGGCTGGGGTCCTTCCTGCCCGGCTCCCTGAGACCCCGCCAAGCTGTGGCCTAGCTTTCAGGGCAGCTCCCTGAGCCCTCACCTCGGGGCCCAACCTGCCCATGTGGCCACCTGCTGTTAGTTCTGGAAGCTTCTGTGTCACCTTGTTGTTCACAGGGGAGGGGGGACCAGAAGCTGCCGGCCCTGGCGGTCCACTCCCTGGACCCTCCTGTCGGCTGGGGCTGGGGTCGGCCCATTTTCTGGGGAGGGGCCTCAGTCCTGGAGCCAGGGTCAGGCCGCTCTTCCACTGTCACCTCTGGGGTCACTCGTGGCCTGGCTGTCTCTGCCGAGGCTCCTGGGCTGTGCCGGTTGGCGGTCACTGGTGGCCTGCGCCACCTGGACAGGGCCATAGCACCCGTGTGCCATGGCTGCTACAGGAAACAGGCGGGAGACGCCCGTGACGGGGGAGGGGAGCGTGCCGTGGTGGCCCCCAGACCACGGCAGGCCCTGTGTGTGGCTCCGCTCCAGGCAGTGGGGCTGGCCCAGCCGGCTCCTGCCGCGTCACCTTGGCGGGGTGGCCTCTTCCTGGGGGGAAATGGGTCTCGCAAGCCTCGAGTGCGTGTCCAGCTGGGCCAGGCCCACGCTCACGTCACCCTTGGTGGCTTCCTGAGCAGTCGCCATGGGAGGCCGGAGAGGCCCTGGGTGGCTGCCGTGTCGGGGTCACCTCCTGCTCCCCTGCCTCCTCCCCAGGGCCAGCTTCACAGCAGGTGGGGCCCTGTCCCCCTCTGCCCTGTCCCCAGGAAGGAGGCGTTTTCTGGGGCTGGGCGACCAGCCCCTTGCCCCTCTGGGCTGGAGTGGCAGGTGGCGGCCACCTGTCTGGCTGGTCCCAGGTCACGGCTTTCTCTCCACAGGGGCGGCTGACGGGGCTGGGAGGAGAGGACCTGCCCACCATCGTCATCGTGGCTCACTACGACGCCTTCGGGGTGGCCCCTGTGAGTGCCCCTGCCCGGAGCCCTCGGGGTTCCGAGGCCGCGTCCTCACTGTTGGTCTTGGCACTGGGTTGAGCCCGGGGCTCGGCGTGTCCCAGCCCTCCTGTCTTCCTCCTGGACAGCGCCTGGCCTCGGGCCTGCGTCCCCTGCCCAGCCCTGAGCTGCTGGGGTGGGCTCTGCAGGACAGGAGTGTCCAGCCAGTGTCCTGGCACATCCCGGGCCTCAGTCTCGTTCCCGAGCATCGCGTCACCCCAGAAGGAAGCCCGTCCCCAGGAGCAGTCCCCGTCTCCTCGTCGGCCCCAGACCCGCCCGTTCTGGTGCTTCCCCTCAGGGACCACTGTGCCCCTGGGTGGTCCCAGCACTTTCCTCTTCCCCAGAGCCACTTGTCACCCACAGGGGACCCCGTGTTAGGACGTACACATGAGGTGAAGGCAGGGCCAGTGGTCGGACGGTGCCCTGCAGCTGGGCACCAGGCTGGGCAGCTGTCACGCGCAGGGCCGGGCAGAGGCCTGGGGGAGGCTGGGCGGCCTGGGTGCTGCCCTCGGGGAGGCGGTCGGACCTTGCTGGGGCCTCGGCCTGCAGGTGTGGGGTGTGGTCAGTCAGGCAGGACACAGGGGCTAGCCGTCCAGCCGGGAGCCGGAGCTGGGCCAGAGGCGAGCCTGGTGGGGGTTCTCGGTGACCGCTGGCGGTGGGCTGTCTCTCCGCAGTGGCTGTCGCTGGGCGCGGACTCCAACGGGAGTGGCGTCTCGGTGCTGCTGGAGCTGGCCCGGCTCTTCTCCAGACTCTACACCTACAAGCGCACCCATGCGGCGTGAGTGCGGGCGGGCGGGCGGCGGGCGGGGCTCTGGCCAGTGATGAAGGCGTGAGGTGCTGGCGTGCAGCGACCTGTCACACTCTGGTGGCATCCTGCTGAGCAGTGTCCGGCCCCACCTGCTCCAGGACAGGACACCCCAGTCGTGACAGCCGCCAGCGTCCCCTAGGGCAGGGTCCCCTGGAGAGCCGGGGTAACTGCTTGGAGAAGTCAGGGCCGCTGTGCCGAGAACGACCCCAGCCTCTCGTCCCGGGTGTTGCCTCGTGCCTGTGGCCGTGTGCAGAGCATCTGTGCCTGCAGCCAGCAGCAGGGGCCTGTCCCACCCGTGGCACTGGGCAGCGGTCACTTGTCTGTCACCTGCTGAGCTGTCGCAGCCAGGCCACAGGGCACAGGGTGAATGGCCCCTTGGAGCAGGTGACAGCACTGCGGACTTGGGAGCTTGGAGCAGGTGGCTGCACAGGGGCCCCTCGGCGTCGTTGCCTGGGACACCGCAGACAGTCCCTTCTGGACGCAGCTGTGTGTGGACTGTGGCCCTGGCCAGATGGCCTGTAGATCGTCCAGGGACTCGCTCTGGGCAGTTGTCTTGCTTGCTCAGGGCAGTGGCGGGCAGCCTGGGGCCCTGGCACAGTGTGAAGGCCGTTCTGATGGTCTCTCGCCCTGACACGCCCTTCGTGAGCATGTCCCCTGCTCTGAGGTGTCCTCCGGCGTCCATCTGAAATCCCGGCCCGAGGGCAGAGCCAGCTCCTGGCCCAGGGTGCCCGTGGACCTGCAGTCTCTGTCATCCCAGGGCTGCCTGGTGCCCGTGTCTCCTCCACCCGGGGTCCAGCCACCAGGCTCAGTGGTCTCCTGGCCCCACAAGAGCCACCTTCTCACAGTTGGTGTTGACCACAACCCTGTTTCCACGGAACGCCACCTGGAGGCCCAGGAGTGTGAATTTGGGGGACAGTTTGCCTCAGGCAGGGACAGTGGGAGGCAGGGGGACCTCCCTGGGGGGCTCCAGGCAGGGCCAAGCCCCATGGCTGTCAATGCAGCTGGCCACCTTGGAAGCGCAGGGTGGCCCTGGCAAGTGGACGGTGCCAGAAGACCCCTCTGTCTTCCTGGCGTCTGCGTCCCGGGCCACCAGCCCACCAGTGTCTCCTGCTCTCCAGGAGCTCAAAGCCACTGCAGTGGGCCTTCACCTGAGACAGCCCCCCCCCCCCCGTCACCCCACTCAGTGTCTGGGGACGTGTGGCTTCATGGCTGGGGACTCTTGGCCTGGAGGCAGTGGAGGCAGGGACGCTGCACCAGAGAAGGGCCCCAGTGTCCGCAGCCCAGGGCAGAGGCCCATTCTTGCTCTGGCGAGGCCCACGAGCTGCCCGTCCTCTGCCCAGGGTGCTGGCTGTGACCCGCGGCTCCCCCCCAGGTACAACCTCCTGTTCTTTGCTTCTGGAGGAGGCAAGTTTAACTACCAGGGCACCAAGCGCTGGCTGGAGGACAACCTGGACCACACAGGTGGGTGGCCGGGCAGAGCAGCACCCAGGGGCGACGGGCCTCCTCCTGGCTGCTGCCACCTCAAAACCCTCGACGCCCACAGACTCCAGCCTGCTCCAGGACAACGTGGCCTTCGTCCTGTGCCTGGACACCGTGGGCCGGGGCAGCAGCCTGCACCTGCACGTGTCCAGGCCGCCCCGGGAGGGGACCCTGCAGCATGCCTTCCTGCGGGAGCTGGAAACGGTGGGTGCTGTGGCCACTGTGGCCGGGTGGGGGGCGCCGGACCTGCCTCGGGCTGTGGGGCATCGGGGAACGGCCGGCAGGGCCACCCTGACAGCGCTGCGGGTGCAGGTAGCCGCCCACCAGTTCCCCGAGGTGCGGTTCTCCATGGTGCACAAGAAGATCAACCTGGCTGACGACGTGCTGGCCTGGGAGCACGAGCGCTTTGCCATCCGCCGGCTGCCCGCCTTCACCCTGTCCCACCTGGAGAGCCACCGTGACGGCCAGCGCAGCAGCATCATGGACGTGCGGTGAGGCCTTCCAGAGCTTCCTTAGCCCAATGGGGCGGGTGGCCGCAGGACAGAGGCCTGGAGCCTGGGAGGAGGGCACCACCAGGCAGGCTCCCCAGTCCTGCCGTCGCCAGGGGAAGCCGCGGCACGCGGGACTGGGGGCTAAGGAGGGTGGCGAGAGTGGGGCCGCAGTCCAGGCCGCTGCCCCTGGCCCACCCTGCCAGTCACCATGTGCCACCCACAGTCCAGACCAGGGCTCCCCCAGGACACTGTGGGCACTGGGTTCTCTGGGCTGCGGCAGACTGGGCCCCGTGAGGTCTGTGAGGGGACCTGCTGGGCGGGCCTGGGCTGTGCCCCCTCTGCCTGGCCGAGGGCGCTTTCCCCCGGTGCCCCAGGGCTGCAGGTCAGGGCCACAGACAGGGCCTGCAGCCCCAGGGGTGGTCCCGTCCTCGGGGCCATGTCCTCACAGCCTCTAGAGGTCCTCGCGCACCAGGCCCAGTTGCCTGGATGGCGCAGTGTGCTGGTCACACCTCCATTGACGTGGGCCATCCCCGGGTCTCCTCAGGAGGAGGCCAGGCACCAGACACGGGTCCACCCACACAAGTGTGGCCATATCTCCACACGCCTGTGTGCCAGGCCTCGTTCACCGTTGGGGCGTGGTCCGAGGTGGACGCGAGCTCTGGGGACACTGTCCGCCCCTGCGCAGGTGTTGGAGGTCTGCCCTCAGCTCCCTGCTAGGCAGGAGGCATGCGGGGCAGCGCGCGTGTCCCCAGAGCTCAGCTGCCCATGCCGAGCACCGCTCCTGTCGTCCTGTCGGCTGTGGGCACTGCCCATGCTCAGGAACCACCTGACCGCGAGGGTCCCTCCCGCGCCCTCCCTGCAGGTCCCGGGTGGACTCGAAGACCCTGACACGAAACACGAGGATCATCGCGGAGGCCCTGACGCGGGTCATATACAACCTGACAGAGAAGGTGAGCCCCGCCCGCGGAGCCCCCACCGCTGTCCAGGCCTGGACTCGGGGCCGCTGTGCCCGACTCGTCTTGTGCCTGGACACCGTGGGCCGGGGCAGCAGCCTGCACCTCTTGTCTCTGCAGGGCACCCCGCCAGACATGCCCGTGTTCACCGAGCAGATGGTAAGGGCCCTGTGGGCGGGGCGGGGCCTGTGGGCGGGGCGGGGCCTGTGGGCGGGGCCGGCCAGTGCTGAGCTGGGGGCTGCCGTGACCTTGGCCGCCTTCCTGCAGCAGGTCCAGCAGGAGCAGCTGGACTCGGTGATGGACTGGCTCACCAACCAGCCGCGGGCCGCACAGCTGCTGGACAAGGACGGCACCTTCCTGAGCACGCTGGAGCACTTCCTGAGCCGCTACCTGAAGGACGTGCGGCAGCACCACGTGAAGGCCGACAAGCGGTGGGCGTCTGGGCCGCACCGGGCGCAGCAGATAGGAGCAGGAGGAAGGAAGGATAAGTAGAGACGCAGGTGCCCCCAAGCAGGTCCCTGCCAGACGGCGGGCATCCAGCACCTGCCGCTACCCGGAGGCCAGGCAGGTGTGCCGCTGGGCCTCTGCCAGCCTCGGCCTCTGCCGGCCGCCTTCCACCCTCAGGCGCCTCGTAGGGCCCTGGTGCCTTGGCTGGCCCTCCTTGCAGCACCAGGCAGGGCCGCGCCCTGGGCCGGGTCTTTCCCAGCCCCTTTCAGTTTTCAAGAGCACATCTTAAAACCTTCAGAAGGACGCGGGCAGGTGACAGGAGAATCCCTGCAGCCCCCTGTGGGGACGGTGGGTGGCCCAGTGTCTGGGAGATCTGGCATCTGGACCACTGGCCTCTGTCTTGGTCCCAGAGGCTGTGGGGACAGGGCACAGCCTGGCGTGCCAGTGTTGGCTGACCTCTGAGCACGTCCTGTCTCCCCAGGGACCCCGAGTTCGTCTTCTATGACCAGCTGAAGCAGGTGATGAACGCCTACAGGTGAGTGGCAGCCCATGACAGCCAAGCGGGCCACGGGCCACAGACCTGGGGAGGCAGCCATGCTGGCCCTGACTCACCCTGCTCTTCCCTGGCCACACGGTCCCCTGCTTCCCCCAGGGTCAAGCCGGCTATCTTCGACCTGCTCCTGGCCGTCTGCATCGGCGCCTACCTCGGGATGGCCTACACGGCAGTCCAGGTGAGTGGCGGGCAGGGCCTCCGGGACAGGGTGGGCCTGCAGCGCCTGGGCCTCCCCGGTCCCCACGGCCTCACCCTTGGCCCTGCTGCCCCCAGCACTTTGACCTCCTCTACAAGACCGTGCAGAGGCTACTGGTAAAGGCCAAGACACCGTGACCCAGCCACCCACCCGCGCCCACCACGCAGGAAGGACAGCACCCCTGGCCGTTGACACTGAATTACAGTTTCCGAGCCGCTCTCCAGGCCTGGGGCGTCTTTCTTTCTCTTTGCCGTGGACTCCCCCGGAGGAGGGCGCGGAGCCGGCTGGGGCCAGGCCTCGGATGCGGGAGCCAGCGTGGACGAGCCCCAGCCCGGGGCCTGCCCAGCACACGCACCTTACGGAGGAAGCCCAGCTGCAGAGCTGGGGTCAGGCCCGATCCTGACCTTGGCAGCTGGCTGTCCTGGACGCCCCTGGACGCCCGGGTCTCCTCTCCACCCTGCTGCTGACCTGGGTGTGGTGACACTTCTCCCTCCTCCTACTTGCTGGCTGCAGCCTCTAGGTCTCAGGATTTGGCCATTTGTGGCCTCCCCTGCCCACCGCTCCACGACACCCCCTGGCCACCAGGTGGACAGAGCAAGCAGATGGGGCTGGTGCTGAGCCCGCCCCCAGGTGGCCACTCCCGCCACGCCGGCGGGTCACTAGCTGGTTGCTGCCCCTCTGCCTGCTGGCCCTGAGCCGAGTCTCCACACCCTGCAGCTCCAGGCCCGGCTCCCTGCTGCGCCCTGGGCCCTGCCCTGCACCCCCAGCCAGTCCCTAGCGCTTCCTGTTCCCACATGCCCCACGGCTCCCGCAGGCCGCCTGTCCCTTGAGCTCACCCGCCCCGGGCTCCTCACGCCTCTGTCCATCTGGGAAAGAGACAGTGTGGGGAGCCGCCCTCTGTCCCAGGAGGGAGGTCTGGAGAGGGGTTGTGCCCTGGGCCACTCCTGGGACCCTGACCCGGAGGAACTGTGCAGGGCAGTGCCCTCAGGGAGGCCCGCCTGCCCCTTCCTTAGCAATACGACCAGTGTGTTCTCCCAGGGCATCGGCTGCAGAGACCTGGCCGGTCAGGCTCCAGGGGCGTCGTGGTTCGGGGCTGGCCCACCACAGCTGTCCGGCCCACCTGGCTCGCTGGGTTCCAGCAGTTGGTTTTGTAGCCGTGCTTCTGTCCCAGACAGCCGCTGGCAGCCCCCTCCAGACCCTGTCTGGAAGGACAAGGCCACCTTCCATCGCCTGCCCAGTCAGGAGCCCAAGGCCAGCACAGGAGACTGCCCCAGCCCAGGCTACTCTGGCACACGTGCGCTGGTGTCCACTTGCTGGCCCAAGGCAGTGCCTCCTGTCCCGTGAAAGGGCTTGGGACCTGCTGCCCACTCCTCTGGGTGTCTGCTGCCCTGCAGGCATCTGGGCCACCTCCTGCCTGCCTCCTGGGGAGGTGACCCACTGACCACCCGGGGCTCGGTGGTGGGATGCAATAGCCCCGGGTGGGAAATAAAGCCATATTGAATGAAGAGCCTGTCCTGTCTGGGGGCTGGGTCACCCGCACCTGCCCCCGGGTGCCTGGTGCTCCTGGGGTGGGGTCTGCTGGGGGAGGGGCAGCTGCTTCCCGCAGCACCGGGAGCTGTGGCCTTGTCCCCATGGCTGCCTTCTGTTTTGGAGCACGATGGGTCACGGTGGCCTCCATCAGTGTCAACTGCTGGTCCTCCCAGAGAGGGTCTTAGGCTGAGGCTTGGGTGGGTGGGAGTCCCAGGGACACCAGCTCCACATGGTGCCATCACGGGGAAGGCCGCCCCAGGCCCCGGGAGCCCAGCAGGGGCACAGACCGTGACCAGTTGACCAGGGAGATGCAGACCTGGAGACCCCTGGGCCCCAGGCTCTGCCCCATCTGCCCAGTTCTGCGTCTC